TGCTCAATGTTTATCTAGCGTTACTAGATGTAGACGACGTTTCAATCATTCTATATTTTGGATGTTACTTGAAACTTTATTTGAATATATATTACTTGAAACTTATATAAGCTCATTGAGTTAATATTGCTCTCACATAGTCACACTTATATTAATTAAATTTTTTTTATTATTATTACTTCAGTATGTACTTTGTATAACAAATAAAAATGATGGAGGAAATATGTTGAAAGTTGATCTGAATTGTTTGATTTGAATCATTCATTTGATTTTGGCTCCCCTTTTTTTTTTTTTTGAACGGGTTGTTTAATTTGATATTGACATATCTTTGCGTGATAAGAGCATCGAAAAAGTGTGATATCAAATGAGTGTACTTTGTATAACAAATAAAAATGATGGAGGAAATACGTGGAAAGTTGAATTGTTTGATTTGAATCATTCATTTGATTTTGGCTCCCCTTTGTTTAATTTGATATTGACATACCTTTGTGTGATAAGAGCATCGAAAAAGTGTGATATCAAATGAGTGTGCTAAAATTATTTTTCTCATAATTATCACAATTATAAACTATGTGTAAATCATAAATCAATGCCATATAGCTATAACTACACTATGTAGATAACAATAATGAAGGGGTAAAATGACAAGGGAAGGGATAAGGTGACCCTCCATTTTCCTGCTTTCAATTAAATGTTGGAGACTTGGAGAGATTTGGTTTATTATAAGGGGAATTGAAGGAAATTTATTTGATCGATGATTCCATTCCCTCTAATGATCTTTAATTATAGGGTAATGTTATACATAGCCCTTAGGGCTATCTTAGCATTAAAAACACTCTTGAAAATTTTATAAAATTAGAAATTTATGACAAAAATATGCGTAGATCAGTGTAATTAGTGTGAATTTGTTTGATTTTCCAAATTTAAACCGTTTTCAAAATTATTTTTAATGCTTATATATAGTCCTTAAGGGCTATGTATAGTATTTTCCTTAATTATATTGTATATTCAAATAAATAAATAAATAATGCATCCCTTCTTCTCTCTTACCTCTCTTTTCCTTCATTTCTCTCTGTTCAAATTAAACACATAGTGTTGTGTAAACACGTGAGTAATATTTCTTTTTTACTTGATCAATAGAGTCAATAGGATTTTAAAAGCATCCAAGAAATCAGCAATACACATGCACCAAATTGTGGGGCAAGTTATTAAATAATTTTACTGATTTGATAATTGATTGTAAGTGAAAGTATTTGATATATAGTTGATAAGTTCTCAAATGACTAGCTATTACAAGTTGCACCACTAGCACCACATAAACTATATGGCTTATCAAATATATATATCAATGATATTTTTAGTACTTTTTGGAGAGATATTTTTTTTTTGTTGGGATCCAAATTTAAAACCCTGTTTATCCAAGCTTTGTTAGTTGTTGGCTCTATAATAGAAGTTTAGATCTAAGTAATAAACTGAATAAGATATATGATAGGTGGAGAAAATATGATTTGAATCAAAAGAACAAATTAAATGATACATGAAAGTTGCAATATTTATTTTTGAGATTTTTACTAGCTCACTCTTTGCATTCATTCAATTTTTATATAATTATATTCTCATTTACTTCATATCTACGAGTATATGACACCATATTTATCGTTTGTTATCATCTTAAACATAATCTTGCATTAGTTGCATGTGTGATTACAATTTTTTTTTTGGAAGAATATCCTCTTCAACAAGTATCTTAATTTCTCCCTATACTTTGTATATAAAAACAAAGTACTCTGCGTGCAGTCCCTTTATTGAGTTCTCATTTTCCTTTTCAACTAATATTGAGAAGAGAAAATTGTGAAAAAAGACTTTTTAAGTGGTTGACTTTTTGAAAAATGACCTTTTAAGTGAAAAATTATGAAAAAAGACCTTTTAAGTTGCATTTTGATTGTATGGGGCACTTGGGTGAGCTTGCGTGGTGGTCAACACCGAGCCCCGACGTTGACTATCACATGACTTTTTTTTTAAAAAAAACCCCAAATTTCCCTCGAGCTCACTCAAGTATTTCATACAAACAAAAGGCAGCTTAAAAGGTCTTTTTTCACAAGTTTTTCACTTAAATTAAAAGGTCTTTTTTAAAAAAGTCAACCATTTAAAAGGCCCGTTTTTACAATTTTCTCTATTAAGAATGCTCAAAAATTTTCAACTAATTAACCAACCAATTTATTAAAAAAAGCATCGCGACAATAACTTAGGTCTTGTTCTCATCGACTGAACTGAACTGAGCTAAACTGAACTGAATATTTTATAAGAGAAGGAAATTAGGAGTTGAACTGAACTGAACTGAATTTCAACGTAAGAGAACAAACCCTTAAAAATAATACTTGTATAAAATATAATTTGTACTCCGTATATTGTTTCTACTTGTACTTTAGTAAATCTTATTAGACTTATACCACGTATGTAGTCAAAAGTCAATGAAAAAACAAGTAGTTGTACACATTCACACACTATATCTCTATATTAACACAGTTACATTACCCCCTATTAAAATAATAGTCTAAAAAATTACTGCGTATCATCTCAAACAAATTATTCCGTAACATAAATTGGAAAATGAATTTGGTTTCGTTTTTGTTTATGGACAAAATTGATGACGCTTGATTGTGTAAGTACCACGGCCTACGTACATCATACGAGTAATAATTATAAACAAAAAAACAAAAAATATAAAGTTTGATAATGATATACCTTTTTATCATTATTATTATTGTTGTTCTTAATAAAGGATCAACAAAAACACCATGAAATGAAACGAAGCGAAAACGAATATGGAAACAATATATATGATTAAAATATGGAGACTTAAAGTAAAGTCACACAAAACAGCTAAGCCAGCTAATAGTGGCGTCTAATTAAAGTATCTTAACCCTATGTTTTTATCTTCCTTAACAGGGTTAACAATATCAAGTTGCAAAATTAGAAAGCTACAACGTGGGAAGCTGCCTCGGCTTGGCTTTGATCGACCGCGTTGGCTCCTTGCTCATTCAATCTACAAGAAAGCTACAATGTGGGAAGCTAGGAAGCTGCCTCGGCTTGGCTTTGATCGTTGGCTCCTAGCTTATTTAATCCGTGGCTCGCAGCCGATGCCCTTCAACTTGCTAAAAGTGTTCAATTAAGTATCATGCATCACGCCACCCTACTATATAAAACGTGTGCTAGTTAATTAATTAAATAAATAAAAGAGTGCTCATTGCTTTAAAGTTTTTTGTATTTCTTGCTTGTTGATTTTGTGATGTAACAATAATAAGTCCAAATCTATGTCCCCATCAAAAAATATAAAAATAATAATAATAATAAAATATAAATCTATGTCCCCATGGTTGATTCAGTACTTTGCAGGCAACATGACAACATCCATGTGGTGCAAAATTTATTTGTAATCGAGTAATACGGAGTAATTCATATGGAGTAGTTACTATCAATATTTACCAAACAAATTTTAAAATCATTTCAATTTGGTTGATAATTGATCAGAATTCGTATATCACAATATAACAATATGAACGTGTTTGTTCCGTGTCATATTGTTTCTCCAATTAGCACAACTCAATGCAATGTCATATTGTTTTGCCAGAGTTATATACTCCTATTGTTCTTGTTTGAATTATTTGAAAAAAACATGATCTTATTAGTAGAGAGACAATGTAAATTGTTATAGTGACATGCATAAAGTATGTATGTAGTTTATGTGCGAGTAAAAGAGGTTGAATTGATGTCAAAAAATAAACATTGGTTAAAACTTTAACTGTGAGTAGATCGACTAATAAAACACTCAAAAAATCTTAAATCTTATCACTAACATAATGCATTGCATTTGCATATTTCTATCATCACATTAAAACTATAAAATCAGACCTTGACAAAAAAAAAATCTTATATTATACAAAATATAGTCATGTAGATAATTTTTGTGTTACAAAAAATACAAGAAAACAAATAAAATTAAAAATACACGCACAAAATTTACAAGGTTTACCAACACTATGTTAACTACATTCACACGGAGCCACCCGCCTTTCTTAAGGCAAAGCAATAGCTTATTGATACTGAGGAAAACAAATTACAAAGTACAGAATAAATTAAGAATAATCAACGGAAACATAATTATAATCTAATATCTCTGATCTTAGATTTGTCAAGCAAATGTTCTCTCTTTAAGAACTCAAATAGTCTAATAACCTTACACATCTGATATCTCTCTTTTTATTGCGTCTTGGAATAACCCTATAGGATTATACTTCATATATAAACACTCCCAAAAACTAAAACAAAATAATGGAAATCGAAAAGCGACTTATTAGAGACATGTGCTTTTGTTCGCTTAGGTAGATCGATTGAACTCACCATAATTGGTACTGTAGTGTTTTGGCTACGTACTACGAAATTCAGGATGCTCAATGCATTTAAGCCATGCTTAAGAGTGTTGCGGCCAATTTTGCCTTTTTATGATTATTGCATAAATGCATTTGAAGGAATATGTATTCATGTGTTTCTGAGATCCTAAATTAAATAGTCATGAATTGCGGAAGCACATCTTACTATTTCATACACTATTTTTTTTTATTTTTTTGAAGGGATTTCATACACTACTTACAAATAGTTCTTAATATGTCAAAATTAAAAACTTTCAGATTTATTGTACCTATCTACATTGATATTTAACAACAACAACAAACAAAAGATTGAATACCAATTATACCATCTAACCATTACATAGCTTCATTACTCCATAATCCGTATCCATATTGAATTCATATTGAATTTGACTCTTACATCAACACAATAATACTTCATCCGATTCTTTTCAGTTGACACGTTTCTTTAGTTACGTTTGTCAATGCACAATTTCAACCATTTATATCTTTAATTACCGATAAGCAAAAATTATGAAAACTTGATATTTTGAAAATATATATTATGACGAATCTAATAAGATTCCACGTGATTATATTTTTCATTATGTATAAAACACAAAATACGATCGAATAAGTGTGTATAAATAGTGCTAAATTAAAAAGTGTCAATTATAAAAAACAGAGGTAGTATTCAAGTTTTAAATTTTCTCCGTAAAAATTAGAAAGTACAGTACAATTCAAAATTTATAAATCTCTCGTCCTTGAATGTCAAAATCAATTGGACACACTTTTCAAAAAAAAAAAAAAAAAAAAAAACTTTTATAAAAAAAAGTTGGGGCCCAACAAATCTCTCTATAATACTTGGTGAGTATTATAAAATGAGACACCAATTGCAAATTTTGCAATAACAAAGCGTCAACCTTACCACTACCGCTTGAGTACATCACCTCAATCTCTCTCTTCAAATCAAAGTTATAATTTATTATTTTTTATAAATAAAAACTGTGACTTTTATCCTTATTCAACTCCATTAACAATGGGGTTACCTTCTGAACGTCCATCAATGGCGACCGCTTTAAAATGGTTAGGTTTCGTAACGGCCGTTTGGGTGCAAGCCATTTCTGGCAACAATTACACCTTTTCTAACTACTCTGACGCCGTTAAAACTTTGATGAATTTGACCCAACTTCAATTAAACAATTTATCTGTTGCTAAAGATGTTGGTAAAGCTTTTGGGCTTGTTGCTGGGCTTGCCTCTGATACTTTCCCAACTTGGCTTCTTCTTCTCATTGGTTCTCTTGAGGGTGTTCTTGGTTATGGCGCTCAATGGCTTGTTGTTAGCAAGACCATTTCACCCCTTCCTTATTGGGCTGTATGTTCTTCTTCTTGTTTTATTTGAGATTGGTTTTGGATCATGTTGATTTTGGTAATTTTTGTGTCTTTTCTTGTAATGTTATGTAATTTGTCATTGTTTCTTAATTTGTTTGTTTAGTTTTGTAATACTAGTACTTGTTTGTTATTTTTTGGTGATGCATGAGAGTTTAAATACATTGGAGTGTATTGATTTGATGTTGATAGTGTATATAAACCGATCTTGTGCCTTAAACCATCAACTTAAGTTTTTGGTTGGACGGGTCCTTTTGATAGACGTATTTAACTTATTGTGGAGAGAGTTGTAAAGGGTATAAGGTGGTGGTGTAGATGAGATTTGATAGTTATATGTTGTAGTTTTTACTTTTGTAACTTTTTATATACATTGAGATATAATTAGCATCTTTTTACTACCTTGGCTCTTTTTTGGATTGTAGGGAAGGGTTTTGACTCAAATTAACAGAGAAAAAAGATATTTGTGGGATGTGAATTGATTTTGGATTTGGAAATGTATTAATTTTGGTATTATAAAGTTTTTACTAGTGGGATACTTGCAAATTTAGTTGATATTGATGTAGAATTAGTTTTGTGTGGTGTGATGGCTAATGAGATCTAAGTTGATTGATTTTTGGAATGCTGCAGATGTGTATATTTATGTGTATGGGAGGAAACAGCACAACATGGATGAACACAGCCATATTAGTTACATGTATCCGAAATTTCAGGAAAAATAGGGGACCTGTTTCTGGGATCCTAAAGGGTTATGTGGGTTTAAGCACTGCTATATTCACTGATGTCTGTAGTGCACTCTTTGCTGATAGTCCTGCTAAGTTCCTCATGATGCTTACGGTTATTCCTCTTGTGGTCTGTTTAACCGCTATGGTCTTCCTCCGGGAGGTTCCTCCATCGACCACTGAGTCGGACATATCAGAAGAATCTAAGTATTTCAATATGTTCAATATTGTGGCTGTTACTGTTGCAGTTTACCTCTTAGCTCATGATTTTGTTGGTTCACAAGGGCATATTTTCGATGTAACCTTTTCTGTCGTTCTAGTAGCATTGCTTGCTTTTCCGTTGGTAATACCAGCTTATATTGCACTTAAAATATGGCTGGATTCAAAAGCTAAGGATGATGTTGAGGACCCGAGTACAGAGCCCTTACTAGCCCCGGATGCTGTGCCTGTATCACAGCCAATTCAAGGAGGGGATGTTGTGGCCGAGGAAGTAATTGGGGAGGCTAAGCAATTACAGCCTGTCCTAGGTGAAGAGCACACTATTGTTGAGGCACTGAAGACGGTTGATTTTTGGGTTTTGTTTGTATCCTTCTTGTGTGGAGTTGGACCTGGTATGGCTGTGATGAACAATATGGGCCAAATGGGTTCTTCTCTTGGCTACTCGGATGTGTCAATCTTTGTGTCTCTACTTAGCATTATGGGATTTTTTGGTAGGATCATCTCCGGAACAGTTTCCGAATACTGTATCAAGTAAGTATTCTCCTGTTTTTTTAACTGTCATTAACTTTTGTTCATAATTACTGTCATTAACATTTGTTCATAATCATAATTATGACTGTGGGTAGGTTAGGTTAGTGGGGAAAGTCGAATAGATCCGCGTTTTTCATGCTTGATTATTATATATAATTAAATATTGATTCTGTTGTCCTGTAAAATCTTTGCTGAATATGCTGTCCTGTTCTTTTAGAAATGTGTAATTTTTTCAAAGAGTTGTATAGCTAGCAATTTGGTTTGAACAGAGTTTTTAAGTATTGGTGATACAAAGTGCATGATAGTTCTTATTAGAAATGAAAATTTTCTGTAGGTGCAATGAAACTTTTTTTTTTTTTTTTTAATGAAGTAGACTTGACCTAGAAGAATATCCTTGTAAGTTGCAACTATATTCAATTTGTTTACGGACATGTTGCCTACTAGTCTGCCAAGTTCATCTTGGTTTGTTCAACTAAAAAAGAAAATCTTTTAAAATGCCTGTAGTCGGGGAGGATCAAGTAGCATGGAGTATATAAGTAATAAAACTATAAAATTCAAAGCTCTGTTTGCTGAAAGTACTTTTTATATCGAAATTTACCATGCGAGAACCCGCGTTGTTTTTTATATTAATCTGTCTAGTAGAGGTAGCATTTCTAAGTTCGATTGCATACTTTTCCCCCCGGGTTAGAGTGTTAGACACAGCTGTAAGGGGATAACTATTTATGTCATCGTCAAAGTGGTCTAATTCGACATTATGGACCACATTTAAATACGAATAGTAATTTGCAGTTCCGTAGTCACCGTAGCTGATTTATGACAATGGAGTTTCAGATTTGGTCATGTAGGGTTTTCTTTGGACCATGGCATTAATCTTCAATTAGAAACTTTCGATGGGACAGAATACAGAAATTTCTCACTGTACTCGTTTTTTGTTTTTCTTTTTTATTGGCATGTCTCAATGAAAGTCAAGTTCAAACCATTTTTGATAAGCTCTAATAAGGATGCAAATTTAGTTTTCAATGAAACCAGTATAGTATATAAGTTCCTAGAAGTCCAAATAATGGTTTTTAGCCTAAGAGATGACATACATTAACTGAGCGAGCTGTACAACTTCAAGAATAAAATTGATCTTATGTATGCAATCATGGCTTTGCAGGAAAGCCGCTACTCCTAGACCGCTTTTCAATGCAGCCTCTCAAATCTTGCTAGCCGTTGGATATGTGATTATGGCAATGGCAGTCCCCTGGAGCCTATACTTTGGAGCAGTCATAGTAGGTTTGTGTTATGGTGTCCGTCTTGCAATCACCGTCCCAACTGCCTCAGAACTATTCGGCCTCAAATACTATGGTCTCATATACAACATTCTTATATTGAACTTGCCACTTGGCTCATTCCTTTTCTCGGGACTTCTTGCTGGTTTGCTCTATGATGCGGAGGCTACCATCACTCCTAGTGGAGGGAACGAGTGCTACGGGGCCCACTGTTATAGACTTTGCTACTTGGTCATGGGTGTTGCTTGCCTTATTGGTTGTGCCTTGGATGTGTTGATGGCTTCTAGAACCAAGGTCCTTTACAAAACGATTGCTGCTAGCAAAAGGTCGAAATCTGTGGTGAAAGGAAAATGAGCTGAGCTCTTAATTGTTGGAAGGGCAATGGAACAACATGTGGTTCTGATTCTGGGGTTGTCATCTGTGAAGCGGATGTTCAGTGTTACTTGTCGAAAAATAAATCAGTACATTCTACGTCCCAAAACACAGTTTTGACAACTTCATATTGCGTTAGCAAAGAGGGAATTAAGAGGGTTGGGAACTTGGGATCTGTAACAATTATCTTTTCTCCCATCACCCTCAGAGGAAAAACAAAGGTAGGAGTATTTTAATCTGGTGTATGCTTAGAAGCAGCAGTTTTTCATTCTTGGCTAGTTTGAACCTTAGTTAAGATTATTTTACGTCACGTGTTATATGTTGTAAGTTGGGTGCTTCCTCTACTTGCACAAACCTTATTTATTCTTGTAACACTGAACTCAATTATAATAGCATATAAGAGTTCTTTTGATAATTAATTTCTATGATAGTCTTACTCCATTTGTTCGGAATAGGTCGCCACACTGTAATTCAGATTATGCTACCAAGAATATGAACGCGAGTACGTGACTATTAACTTCGGATCAAGGGAGTAAGTTTTCGAATTCGAACTCACTTGTTTAGCTGTAAAACTTTACAATTATATGAGGGCCTGAGGGGGTGATCGTTGTGTCTGACTGACCATCAAATGGACTAATGACAAAATACACGTATAACTGGTTTTTTCTAATGTGAATTAACAAATAGCGTGGTATGCTTTTGCAGCATGCAAAAACATGCTTGCCGTTGCAGGAAAGATTTGGAAAAAGAGGGCCTGTGGCCTGTCACTGATGGTCTGAAAACCGTAGTTTAAAATTTTGTTTTCTAATGGGCCGTTCCTATTGCTATAAGCATATACTGAGTATCTGAACGTGCCCATAAACCTTTCCCAGTCCTATACTAATGAATGATTTAACAAATAATATCAGTGTCACTTTTATGATAATATTTTACTACAGTATCTTTTTTTGGTTTTTAGAGAGGCGAGGTTGAGAATCGATTCAGAATCTTCTGAAACCGGTTGAGAAGCTCTAATTACTTTAATTATTCCTCAGTGTCAAGTATACAAATAAACCATGACATCTAATATTGTATTGATAGTATTGGATGATTTTTATATTTATCAGTTAACTTGAAGTGTATAACAATGCAGTCAGCCAGTCAGTAATACTTAAGAATTTTTATGTGATTGCATTGGTGTTTAAAAATTGTCAGAAATCTATATGGCTTTGAAGTTGATTTTTAGAGATGAAACACACTACGCTAGGCAGTAGGTTCTAAAGGATATAGTGTATGAGTACTCCCGCCCCTCCTTTTTGTTCTTCTCATTTAGAATCTTTGTAGTGTGACAAAAAAAGTGAAAGTAAGAAGAACAATAAAATTGAGGAGATTAGTTTCTATAAATTAAATCATAAAATCAAGTGATTAGATAATACTTCGTATGAATCAGAATGAGTAATACGTATTACTCCGTACGAAGTATATAGGATCAATACAACATTATACTCATGACTCATCACATTGTAATATCTTAATTACGGAGTAATAACTTTTTTTTTTAGTAGCATCTTAATTAATCACTTGAATTGGCACTTGTTTTTGTTTTTATGGGTGCTCTGAGCCTCTGACTGCTCTCTGATTGTCAGTCTCTAAGGCAGTGGCTAGAATTAAGGTTAATATGCACTAAGATCTCTAAGATACTTAACACAATTATTAATTACCAGTATAAATACGTGATAATAATAATAATAATAATAATAATAATAATAATAGGTTGACAGGCAGAATCCGCAGAAAGAGTAAAGTTCTTAATTTGTAGAGACAAGTAGTAATTTGTGAGGAGTTATGGGCAAAATATCAATAAATTCTTAATAAGTTAACAATAGACAAAACCAAGATAATGGAATGCATTTGTATTAAATTAGAATTGGCCGTTATTGGTTCATTGGTTTGTAGTAGTTTGTACCAAGTAAGTTTCATCAAAGCTGGTTGATGAAGGAAAATAGAAAATGTTTGGGTCCAATTTATCTAATTGGGCCTAGTCATGTATTTGGGTCTAATTATCTTATTGGGTCTGGTCACTAAATGACTCCATGTTCCAAGGTCAAGGCCCGAGCCTCCAATCAAGCCAAGTCAACCAAGAGTCCTTTGGTCCAAATTGCCATGGTCAGCTCATGACTATTTAAAGGTCCAATTACTCTCCTCTCATCATGAGTAAAGGTATAAAAGCCTTCAATTCATTCATTTGTACAATAACATACAAAAGCCTCAAGCACTAAATCTCTTGCATAGCTTTCTCTCTCTAAACACTGTTTGACTTCGGCATCGGAGGGGTCTTCCTCGGATCCACCCACGAGGCCAGTTTACGTGTTTTAGTTGTGCAGGAAACCTTCGGCCCAGCATCAATTGGACCGAACCAGTCTTCAGCCACTTCAGCGGGCCTTCGGCAAGGCCCCATTGTTTTCATCCGAAACAGAAAATACAACAATTTGCATTGGTACTTTAAAGGATCCAACAACTTTCAAACTCTTTCTAGAGACAAACAAATCCATGGGAAAGGAAAAGATAGAAAGGTTTGGGTAATAAGTTCCACTTTCAAGTGTTCACGAACCCCCTCTAAGGCCTCTATTCAACTCCATAATCATATATGTGTCACAAGAATCCAACTCGACCAATTGAACATTTCCTCTAATAAAGATAATCTAGGTCCTGTTTATATTAATACACCATACAAAATCAAAGAAAACCTCAAAATATGTACCGTGTTAGATTTGTTTTGATACAGAGTATTGTACGAGTACGAGTATATATTTTTGAAAACAGTAAAAGTCAAACGTGACAGTTATTTTGGGACAACAGAAGAAAAAAAGCTAATAAAATTCACTAGCAATTTTTTAAAAAGCCAATGTTGTGAAATGGTCTTGCACTCTTACCTTAATTAAACTAAGTTGTACTCCATCCATACGCTCTAGACATGGGGGGTACTTTACTCACTATATTCACATGTGAATAAGCACACGGGCTTGGTTTACATTATAAAGGACATTGCCTCTCTTTTAACCAATCTCCACTATTCTCTTGTGAACTCCCCCACTCCCTAAACTTTGGCTCCATTATTTTTACTTGGAGAACTGAAAGAGAGAGGAAAAAGAACCCTCAATTTTTCAGAGGATCCTCAACTTCTCGACCAGAAACGCATAAGAGCAGTAGCTCAGCTTCTCGGCCAGAATCTGCTCGCCGAGAGCAACATGAGACTGTTCGCCGAAGCGTACTCGACCGAATCGGCGGCAGGGAGCCGAGCGTGCACAACCGCCTCTCGTTTCCTGTAGCCGAGGCCCAGACTTCCCAGCCAGGGACAAAAACCACTCCTACCTCTCTAAGAGGGCGGAGCGCGGTCCCTTCGGCCAGGAACAAAGGCAAGGCCGTTATGCTACCCACCAGTTCCCCATTCGAGCAATGGATACTGGAAGAGCACGTGCCCACGGTTAAAATACCGTCGCACATCACATATGATGGGACTTCGGATCCGAAGGACCACATTGCCTCGTATGAGGCTCATATGCATCTTTGCCCCAGGTCCGAAGCGACTTGGTGCAAATATTTTCCAACCACTCTCAAGGGGGTCGCGCAAGCGTGGATCTCCAAGGGAGTGAAGCAAGACTCTATAACAGGGTGGGACGATCTGTCCTCCAAATTTAGGAGCAAGTTCTCCACGACAAATCGCCGAGAGAAGACCACTGCAGAACTCATGGGTCTGCAACAAGGAGAGGCTGAAAGCCTCCGAGACTATCTGACCCGTTTCAGCAACGAGTCGTCCAGCATTTCTCATCTGGACCAAGGCCTAGCAGTTTTTCGCCCTTCAGCACGGCCTCAGAGCAGGGCAGTTCTCCGACTTCATGGTCATGAATTCACCCAAGACCTTGGAGGAGGCGCTGAATGCTTCGGATAAGTTCATCCGAGCTGAAGAGTGGAACAAAACAAAAACCCAACCCCAATCTGGGGGAGGGAAGCAAAAACAAACACCCTTGTCTGAAGGCTAAGGCCAGAGGACAAAGGGAAAGGCCAAGGCCTCGGAACAATCTTCGGCTAACGAGCCGAAGAAGGAAAAATATGCCTCATACACAGGAATATACGAGTCCTACACTCCGCTCTCTCTTCCACGCGCCAAAATTTACAGCGTGACGAAGGAAGAGCAGAGTTACCGAAAGCCGAGACCACTCCCAGAGTGGTATCAGCGAAAAAATAAAAATCAGTGGTGCGTGTTCCACGAATCTCCGGGACATAACACTGAGGAGTGTATCCAGTTGAAGGACCAGATCGAGGATATGGTCCGGAAGGGATACTTGAAAAAATACATCGCGGATCACCGCGAGAAAAAGGAGGCCGAGAAGTCAGCAAAGGACTCTCGGCAGGACCTCGACTTCCCCCGGAAGAACAGCAAAAGTGCGGAGGGAAAATTCTCTCCAATCAATGTCATCTCAGGAGGAATATGTTCTCGGAGGGAACACAAGCGGCACCTTAGGGCTCTGACCCACTAGGTGAATAACGCTGACATACAGCCTCCCTAGTCGCCGGTGTCGAACATGACGTTCACAGCCGCCGACTGCCGGGGGGTAACGTTCCCTCACGAGGACCCGTTGGTGATCATCGCCACGGTGGCCAACCACGACGTTAGCAAAGTTCTTGTTGACGGCGGCAGCGGAGCAAACATTCTGTTCCGAAAGACCTACAATCAAATCAAGCTGAATCCCAAGCACCTTACGTCGGTACCCTACCCGGTATCCGGATTCAACGGGGCTTCAACTTACCTAGATGGGAAGGTGACACTTCCTGTCACCATCGGCTGCGATGAGGCAGCCAGGAATGTCATGACTGAATTTTTGGTCATTGACACTCCTTCAGTGTACAACGTGATTTTGGAGAGACCCATAATTCACGAGATCCAAGGGGTCGTCTCAACCTATCATCAGCTGATGATTTACGTCTTAAACGCCGGCTTCCCCGAAAGGATCCAGGGCAACCAAAAGGACGCCCGAAGGTGTAACTACCTCAAACCATCCACTAGTCGCCCAGACGACGACGACAAGGATAAGGAGGAGAAAGAAAGAGAGCCAAGCACAAAAAAGCCGAAAGGCCTAAGTGCTTCGGCCCAAGGTTCTGTGCCCAGAGAAAAAGGGCCAGAAAGGGAAAAGGCTAGCTCTTCATCTGAGCCGAAAGACTCAGAGAGCCAGCCGAAGAACAAAAAGCCTGGGACACCTGCCGACATAGACAGTAGGCCAGATTGTGGAGAGTCCAGTCCATCAGCAATGGACATGGACCAGCAGACTGAAACGGTCGAGTTGGCCGAAGGAGACGCTGAGAAATGTGTAACAATCGGGATAGACCTTGATTCAAGCACCCGTTGTGAACTTATTCAGCTCCTTCGGGACAACAGCA